GGAAAACTGAATGGGAAGAAATCAGTGAGGGAGACAAACCATGGGAGACTCTGGACTCTGGGAAACAAACTGAAGGTTATAGAAGGGAGGGGGGTGGGGTAACCAGCTGATGGGTATTAAGGAGGGTGTGTGTTGTGATGAGCACCAGGTGTTATACACAACTAATGAATCGTTGAACACTACATCAAAAACAAATGATGTACTATATGTTGGCTAATTGAACATAATAAAAAAAATAAATAAAAGGAAGAAAATAGCCTAGGGAAAAGAAATGAACAAACAATACAAAAAATAATCATAGACACAGAGAATAGATTGGTGGTTATTGGAAGGGAAAGGAACTGTGGGGTGGGAGAAAAGGGTGAAGGGGGTCAATTGTATTGTGATGGTAACTAGGCTTATTGTGGTGATCACTATGTAGGGTATACAGATATCAAATTATTATATTGTACACCTGAAATTAATATGTTATATACCACTTTTACCTCAATTAAAAATATATTTGCTCAACTAATGAATCATTGAACATTATATCAAAAACTAATGATGTACTATACCTTGGCTAGTGGAATTTAAATTAAAAAAAAAGAAAATATATTTGCTATACATTCCAGGTAGCTGACAGTGCTAGACATCTAACCTACCAAATGTCAAAAGCTGTGAGCCTTGCCCAGTCTGCAAAAGAGGGTGTGAGTCAATTGCAGAGATTAGATTAGAGCTAACACAGACTCCTGTAATTTCTGCTCCCCTAAATCACCTGTTTGTTACTCCTCTAGAGAGCTTATCTGTAATTAATACTATTGGGGGGTGGAGTCACTGAGAACTTACAGTATCTTCGTCCCCAAAGGTTGTCAAAGACAAATGGAAAGGCTATTAACATAAGAAGAGAGCACACCACCTCTCAGATCTGTGAAAGCCTGTCCACAAGTCACTGTAGCCCACTCCCTAAGTTCTTGTGGCTAACCAATCAAGACAGTCACATGGGAGCTCATTTACACCAGTTCAGTCCATCTTCAAGATGAAAAGTGTGCACAACAATAAATACTTGTTCTCCAAAATTCCCAGTGATCTGGAAGTAAGAAAATAAAGTTAAGGTTTTGTCCTTCTAGCCAAGGTTCCAGTTCTCAAAGCCACACTGTTCTTAGTAAGATTGTCATTAGAAAAAATTGAAGAGTCCATTGTGGCCTCTAATGAGAAAAGGGGGTATAGTTGGCTTTTGTTCATAGCATTCATCTTATGAGCTTGTCTCTAATGGAATTGTGACAAACTTTCACCATAAAACATTTCAGTATCAGTAAAAAAAGAAAAAAAAATCAGACTTGAGCCAGAGGAAAGTGAATGAGGGATAGTGAGGATGTGTAAAACCATGTCAAAGGGAGAGGAGACATAGTCAAAGGAAGTGAGGATATTTAGTATGGAAAGAAACAAGAAGAGCAAATTTAGGGGTACCACTATCACTTTCTTTCAATCTCTGAAGATCTTTAAATCTCAAAAGATTAAGAAGCAAACTTTGTTGTGTGAGTCCAAAGGGCAGTGCTAAGACCAATATTTTTTTTTAAGATTTTATTTATTTATTTGAGAGAAAGATAGCATGAACAGAGGCAGGAGAAGAGGGAGAGCGACAATCTCAAGCAGACTCTGTGTTGAACATGGAGCCTGATGTGGGGTTTGATTCCATGACCCTGAGATCATGACTTGAGATGAAATCAAGAGTTGGATGCTTAACCAGCTGAGCCACCCACATGTCCCAAGACCAATGTTTATTTGTGTGCTAAGGTGGAACAGCTAGAGAGTTGGGGAACCTACTCTGGTTTTTGCTCAAAGGAGAAAATTCATGATTTCTTGGGAATCTATATGAAGTCAAACTAGAAAATACAGTTTGTTATGAGCAACATATTCAATATAAACACAGTGATCACTTGCTGATTGGCTTAGCTTTACTCTTTCAGATGAAAGTAAGCAGAAATGACATGGGGACTGGTTGATGAGTTCCCCACCAGTGGGAGTACAACTGAGGGCTAAGGTCATGTATGTTCATGTAAGACAGGAGCTTTCAAGCACTTCCAATATCATGGTAAATTTGCAAAAGGAAAACATAATTCTCTTCACCTTTGGTTTCAAACATTGGAAGGAAATTGGATCCCCAAATCAAATAAAGCACCAAGAATCTGAAAATAGTTGTTAAACACAGTGGGGGTAAGGCCCTTTTATCTCTCCATTAATTCATGTCTTACATTGGTCTCTCCTGAAAAGACTGAACTGGGACTAGACTGTGAATTGTAGCCCTCACCAATTCTAGTCTAATTCACTGGTCTTTTCACTGAGTTAAATGAAAGAGCAAATTCCTAATCATTCTTTCACACAGAGAAGCTGGAGTAGTGAGTGGACACTCTCTTCTATGTCTTGGACCCAAGACCTTATATTTCTGGGTGACTTTTATCTATTTGTATTTTACCCATTTATCCTTTCTTGCCCTTTCCTTCAATACTTTTCTAATTACCTCCTCTCCTCTTTCTTTCTTCCCTCCTTCTTTACTCTCCCTCCCTTTTATTTTACACCAGTGTACTAGACCAAACTTCCCAATTCTCTTTCCCTGCTGGAAAGCCAGGGAAATTTCTGAAGCTTGGGTGAGCCCTAATTCATTGGGAAAGCAGCTTCTCCCCACTGTTTCCTTCTTAGCAATCAAGGGGTACCTTTTAAGTGAAAGTGACTAGTTGAGAGAGAGGAGGAACACCAAATTTCCATAAAACCTCCTACATTCCTCAGGCAGCTTGCTTCTTGCTACTATTGGGCACCTTTAGTCAGATGCTTTTTGCTTGGCTTTACAGTCAGAGTTCTTAGTTAGTACAAAGAAAAAATTCAGAATTTGTATGGTCCCATACCCTCATCGTACAAGAGAGCAACTAAAAGTAACAGTCTTGTTCAAGTTATTCAGAAAGTCAAGGGCAGAGATCCAGAACCCAAGCCTTGCTATCTTAGCCCAAGACTCTTTGTTATAGCCATTTCCCTTTCTCCCTACAGTGACCACTTTCCCCTAGGTGGTCTCCTGCAATTTTACTTTACCACCAGTATTTTTTCTCCTTTTTTTTTTTCCTGTGGTCTGGGTAATCTATTTTTAGTCTGTTTAACTATCTTACAATTTTACAATTATATTGGTTTAGAAAAGTTGTTCTGTAACTATGTCCTGCCTAGAATACTCAATTCAAATGTAATTATGGTCTCTTCCATTACTTAGTTAAATTTGTTTTATGTACTTGCGGGTAGGACAATACTTCTCTAGTCAATGAATCTGGGAGTGTATCTGAGGGGACAAGTCTCCAGGAGGCGTGTTCTGGGTCCTGAAGTGTTATCTCTTCTCCTTCAAGTATAGAAATAGCTCTGAGGGAAGTCTATACTCTAGATCAAAACCAAACTACTTAAAACACAGCTCTAAGGGCGCCAGGGTGACATAGTCTCTTAAGCAACTGATTCTTGGTTTTGGCTCAGGATGTGATTTCAGAGTTGTGAGCTTGAACCCTGCAAGATTGAGCCCCAGAAGATCAAGCCTGGCAAGAGCAAGCCCTGCAAGGGCAGGCTCTGCAGGGAACTCCATGCTCAGTGCAGAGTCTCCTTGGGATTCTCTCTCCCTCTCCCTTTGCCCCTACCCCCCTGCTCATGTACATTCTCTCTCTCACTCAAAAATAAATAAATCTTTAAAAACAAATAAAACACAGGCCTAATTTGAAAGACGTTATTTGCTGATTAAGCCTGGGAGTAAGGTGTGTGTTTTGATTAACTATAGTGCTGATTATTATTATTATTCTTAAAATGTAATGCTTGTAGATATATAGATATATATGAATATACATCAAATCTTTTGTGGACCTTATTGGTATTGGCTGTGCTACTGGTGTACTTGACTGGGGTTTGGTATGCTGGACTGAAGTGGGATTTATTTGAATTTAATATAATGAGGAAGTATTTGCTAGGCTGGAATAGGCTGCCCTGTGTTCTATTTGAGGTATGCTGGAGTGTGTGGGCTAGTCTGAGCTACACTGGGGTAAACAGGGCTGACTGAAGCAGGAAAAGAGAGACTTAGCAATGAAATTTCACTTCTCTGGGTATCAGTTTCCAACTTGGCAAATATGTGATGAGATTCATCTATCCATACCAAAAATGTTCAGTGAGTACCATCTGAGTAACAGACTCCTTTTCAATGTACTGAGAATACAGGGATAACAAAACAGGGATACTGCCATACGGGAGTTTTTGGGTAAGGTAGGGGAGACAGACAAGTAAATAGACAGTACAATAAAGAAAAATAAATGCAAAGAGAATGTATCGAGTGATATCAGTCATCTTCAACTCTCAGTCACTTAACCCAATGAAAGTGTATTTCTCATTCATGCAAAGTCTGTTGTTGATCCAGGAAACATTTCAGGACAGTTGTCCTTCATGTGTTGGCTCATCATTCCAGCCTGTTTCAGTCTTATGGTAGCTCTATAATAACATGTTTCTATGATGACCATGGCAGGAAGGGTCTTAAATTGGATATTAATTGTTCCAGCCAGAGAGGGACACGTATAACTTCCTCCCACAACCAAAACTAGTCACATGGCCTCTCCCTATGTTAAGTGGGCAGGGGAGTGGCAGGGCAATCATTCCATCTTTCTGGAAATATTAAAGTTGGATATTAGAACATTTGTAACCTACCACAGGTAAGGGTAATCCTGGTATGAATATCAGTGATCTCTCAGGGCTCTTCTTAAATTTTAGAGTTTGGGGAGTCTGTTGTCATTCTCAATGATATCTAAAGGGATAAACTTTGTACCTGTACCTAGCATGTTCTCTGAACAAATATTATAGGTGATAAGTTTTTGAGAGGTTTTCCTATCACTATGTCAAGTATCCTTTTTCAGATGTAGCAAGTTAGCTGTCATTTGGAGTACTGCACTGGACTCTCTCTGAGGTAAGGGAACTGACTTTCATGACACTCTGCTTTTCTACTTTCTTTGGCCTAGATGCAGTGACTGAAGTGAAGACAGACATCTATGTGACCAGTTTTGGCCCCGTGTCAGACACTGACATGGTAAGTTATAGTTCCCGCAAAGGTAAAAGTGAAAGATGATGCAACAGATCGACGAAAATAAATTGGAGTTTGTAGCTAGGTTTTAGGGAGAAGCCTTGTCTCATATGAATTTCCTACCCTCACCATTCTACATTTGGCAAATTCATCTTTTTCCCTGCTCTCCCAACCTATTCACACATAAAGCATATATGCTCATCAGTAATATCCTTCCCTTCTTTCCACAACACACTTTTCAAAATTAAACCTATATCCCTATCCTCAATTAAACTTTCCCTGACTTCTCTCTTCACATTTTGTCAACACTACACACATATTAACAGAATTAGGTTTATGTGAGGAGAACATTGTGGTGGGGACTCTCGGAGAGTCAAGCAGCCTATGGTATCATCCAAGAAGTCTGTTCCTTGCAAACAGGCTCTATTTGTTGGGGTAATGGACTGACCATGGTGATGCAAAATATTTGGAGAAAGAGTCAAAACCACTTTTGGAAACTGATCCTTCTACAGATGTGTGCAGGGGAAAGCTTCAGAGCAGAATCAAGGAATAGAGCAGGGCATAGCAGAACAAGTAAGGGGAGACTCATGAGCCATCTTCAAGGACTTCTCCTTCTCCTTCCATTATCCCTTGCTGCCAAAGCAAAGAATGTAGTGGAGAGTTGAGGCAGGAGAACCCATCCTAATGGACCATCTGATCAATACCTACTAAGTATCAGATATTTGATTGAATAATTATCATGTAAAGAAACAAAGAAGCTATTATATGCTCAATATGCCTGGCAGTTAATAGATGCTCAAAGAATTTTTGTTGAATGAGTGACTTTGTATGGAAAATAAAAATCTTAAAATCAGAAAAAAATATTTAAACAGTATGAAATATCCAAAAAATATGAAATGTCCATGATCACTACTTAGATTTTTTTCTGTGTATCTTCAGTGGCACTACTACTTAGCAGGAGACAAGTTTTCTTTAGACCTGTTGGGTAAATATAAACAATTATATAGGGATATGATAGAGTTTGTCTGTAGGTAATATAGAATGATTGAGTGGATTTGAATAGGGCAGTAAAAATATACAAGTGTTGTTTTAGAATGTTTTAGAATGACCTAGCAGTCTGTACAGGGTGGACTACAAGGCGGAAAAGACAAGGCTAAGAGTTGGTTTAGGTATGTTGACTTTACATGGCTCTTCAATCAGGCAAGGTCTATAAGTCAGTTGGAAAAGTAGGCTAGTTTTCAGCAGAGGGAGTCATGAGTGGTTGTGAAGCCAGGCCTGAACTTTGTTTTTCAAGTGTGGAACAAAGAGGATACAGAGATATAACAGACTCCCTGTATACTCCTTAAGGAAAAGTACCAAGTCTTCATGGCTTCCCTGGCACTTAATAGAATACTTGACACATAGGGAAAGCTCAGGAAGGGGCATGTTTGATGTAGGAGGGGTGGAGGAGATGGGTCTCTCACAGGGACATCAGGAAGGCCTGTATGTCTAGATTACTCGCTCTCAACCTGTTGACTACTAACGCCCACAGCTTTAGATCCAGGCATGTGTTAAAACTATTGTCAGTTGGTCATTCAACAAGTATTCCTTAGAAGCCCAACTCTGCATTTTAAGAGGCTCTAGAAATCCCTATGTTCAGAGAGCTTATAGGCCACTGGATATAACCAGATTCACCAGAGATATGCAGCTCTCTCTTTGTATTTCTGGGAACGAATGATGGATTAGGAGTTTTACAAGAAAGTGACTGAAGCTGCTCTTTGAACACACAGATTTACACTCACACCCTCTCATTTACTCTCACTCATACGCCAACATCCACAAATACATTCAGACAAATATGTGTACAAGAAAATACATAATAAAAATAATCCACATGCTATCCCAGGCACTTCATGAACACACATGTGGAGACACCTAAATCCAGGAATACTGTGGAAACACACATGTAGCCTCTACCCAAACCAGTTCCTTCCCCACCCAAGTAGGCACATGTGGGTATACAGAGGCCCTGGAGACATTTCAAACAATCCAAATTTTGTATCTCTTGAAGTTTCATATTCTACTTGCTTGTTTTTCTCCCTCATGATTAAGTGGAAGCAACAGAATGGCTTTCCTGATAGGGAGGGCAGACTTTGATCAGATAAATTTCAGGTTATTTTTAGCGGCACTTCCATCTTGTTACAAGGTAGAATAGCTATGATCACTCTGGCTGGGAAACACATTAATGGTGTTTTTAAAAATTTCTTCTTCCTGTACTCCTTAGTATACTGTGGCAATTGACCCTAGGTCAGGGATGACTTTTTGGGTGAAACATCAGAAAGTTGTCTGACTTTAGCAACTAGCTGAAACAATAACCCAGGCTCTCCTGAGACTACAGACTGCTTGGGCGAGTAGATGAAAATTAGAGCTGGCTGGGTTCTTGACTCACTTCCAGCCAAACGGAATTTTGGTCCAGAATACTTTCCTAAGGAAATAGGGACAAGTTTCTTGTTCACAAAGAGGAAAAACTGTGGTGCCAGTTTGAGCATTGAACCAGTGTCACCCATAACCCTTTGCAGCCATTGTACTCCTTACTACACACTGACCTCTACAGACATAGATGCTGAGTTTGAGAAAAAGCTCCATAAAGGACCATATTTGTTTTGTTAATCTTCATATCGCCAGTATCTTACCAATGTTTGACACTTGGTAGACTTTCAACTATTTGTTAAATGCAAGAATAAATGAGATGTCACAAATTAAATTTTGAGGGGAAAAATATGACTGTGTTTCTCTGCTTGACTGAAAGTCCTTCAAAGGTAGAGAACATGTCTGGAACATATCTGTATCTCTAGCACCTAGCATAGGACATGATACATGCCCTTTGTTAAATGTTTATTGAAATGATATGAAACATTAATAGCAAGCCGTGCAGACAAAGAGTAAAAGTAGCTTTCTTTAGGAGACACTGTGGAATAGCAAGACTAGTGAGTCAATGATTGATGACTCCAAGCTTTGGGCTACTAGTTTGAGTGACTTCGCCATTTATGAATGTAAAGAGCTGTGACAATAGGTAATTGGGCAGAGAGATGAAAGCAAACAGTAGTAGATGTTTCTAAGGGAAAAGTCAGAGAAAGAAAATTTATTAAAGAGTATAGATATAAATTAGAAACCGATTACAATGGGAATTTTATAGTCATCACAAGTGAAAGTCTTGTGTTAACCATTTGTAACAAATAAAGCTTGATGGTCAAAAAAAAAAAAAAAACGTGCTGCTCCTCAGTAATACCAATCCTGTACCTATGCTCTCCCAGGAGAGAAACAGAACAAGGGATATGATCCCAATTTGAATTATCTAAGGCCATATGACCATCTATGACTTTCTATTTTTAGAAGAATTTACACCATTTTCTCATTCCATGTATGGAAAGATGGTGTAGGTGGCAGTGAGGGGAAGGCTGCAAAAGATTTAGTGAAAATGCAGTTTCATTGCCATTTCTCTCTCAAATTGGTTATGTCCATTCCTCACCAGTGAGCAATGGCTCTTGGCAAACAGAAATTTTCCCTTTTCTCCAAGATCCTTTGAATCAGAATGCAGAGAAAGTAGGATACTGGCTTAAAAATGGAAAGCTATGCATATGATCAGTGATTGGAAAGGAAGGTAGAAAGGAGACAGTTGATATTTTCTAAGAGAGTAAATCTTAAGTGTTCTTACCACACACACACACACACACACACACACAAACACACACACGTGACCATATGAGGTGATAGAGGTGTTAATTTGATTGTGGTAATCATTTCACAATGTATACATATATTAAATGATCACATTATACACCTTTACAAATCACATTGTACAACCCAAATATAAACAATTTTTAGTTGACAATCATACCTCTGTTAGGAAAAAAAGAAAGCTAACAGCTGAGAAAAACTTTGGATGCTCTCCTGGCCCAAAGCACCTTCTATAAAAACTTCTATTCTAATTCTTATCCTAAGGCCCCAGGTTTTGACATACCACAGGTTCAGGGACCCAGGGTCCTGGATTATGTATTTAATGAATATCTATCTGAATGTACTGATAAAGCTAATGGGAAAATAAGGAGGACAAAGAGCAGTAATGTTAGTAGAGTCAGAACGAGAGCAACTGGGAAACTTAAAATGCCAATTCTAGGTATTGTCAACTTCACTCTCTTCCCAGGGATACTTTAACTGTTTAGATCCCTGCTAGGTAACAAGTGCCAGCTGCCGCTTGTCAACAGAGAAACTTCCTAGGGTATACAGTGGACAGCCAGGTTATGAGGCAAGTAGTAATACATAAGAGAAATAATCATATAGCCTAATGAAAAAAAAGAAAATAGAAACTTGGGAAATATGAATTCATAAAAGATATTATAATCATGATTCTTTATAACATATGGCATACATTTTGGTCTGACTACTGCTTGTGAAAATAATGCAAAGTTACCAGAGTATCCAAAGACCATAAAGGAAAAAAAATGGTATTGATTAAAAAGAAAGTAGCACAGGGACCTCTTTCCTGGCGGCAGTGAGCTTGAAATTGTTGTACCTGTTTCCTGCCTACACTAGAAAAAGTGGCTATGTTCATTTCAAGTCCTCACTTACTGGTAGTCTGAGGCACAGAATGAAGGGGAGCCTTTGTCTGTTTTGAAAGCCTCCTGGGCTGTCAGTTTCCTCTTATTCTGTAGGATACCATATTCCCAGATGCAATAAAGGAAGGAGTCCGTGTCTATGGGGTTTTGCTTAGGAGTCCATGACCAGGAATCTCCTGGGTTACTTTTATGTGAAATAGACAGGCAGGACACACAAACCATGCTAATAAGACTATTTCAAAGACTAAATGCAACTGAAAGGGGCGGGTGGATTATAATTCTTCAAAATTCAGAGGGATGGTAAGAAGGCAAAGAGCAAAGGGAGGACTGTGTGGTCAAAATAAGGGGGGAGTGGTCTGCCTATGAGGCAATGACAATACCTATGGATCATAGCTTGTGTATTATATTACA